CAGTTTAAAAGCAAGTGCAATATATAGAAAATTTGTTTAAAAACATGATATCAACTCTGTGCGTATGCAAGATACAATTAACTCTGAGATGTATTTAAAAATACAATAAACTGATGTATATAAAAATACAATAACTTATGTGGGAGTTTCTCTAACCGACAACCATCACTTAAGAGCTATAGTGATGATACAACGATCTACCTCACGTTGCCAGCGCATCCTATACCTGGCCAAAGGTATAGGACCTGAACTGCCTAATGGATCCACTAGTCTATTTCGAAAGGCGTTCATCTAAAAAGTATGACCCATTTCTACCCATGATGGCTACATGGTTTTATGGAGATGTGAATTATCTGAACTCATGCCCGCCCCCAATATGATGCTCAATACTACTCCCAAAATATACTAGCTCTTATGTTTTAAAAACATACTTCTTCTGTGATTTGAGATTAGTGCTCAAAACTTAGCTCAAAGGCTATCTTGGAAATCTCAGTTTCCCTACTTGATTCATTTAGAAAGCTAATACTCTTTTCTAAAAACTAGCCCGAAGTCTTTTGGAAATCCCAGTTTCCGTTCTTATTTAAATGTGAAAACATTTTAAATATCTTTGGGAATACTTAGTCCCCATATACTTTTGAAGAAATGAACTTCAAACTTTACTCTGTACTCTTTACTCAACTTGAACTTTAAGTCTTAAAACAAAGTTAAAACCATTTACAAAAGACTTCTTGAAAAGACTCTAAGAATTTCTTAGACTTGGCTCTTGACTTTCCTTGAATTTAAATTTAGGAATTCAAGGTTATGATTTATGTTTCTGGATGATTTCTAAATGTTTAGAAGTCATTTAGAGTAGTTAGAATCAATGGAAAGTGTTAATACACTTTAGAATAACTTAAACAGACTGAATGACGAAAACTGGGTGAAAAACGACGATTTGGGTGCATCCAGGGCGCGCCGCGCCAACCCCAACCTTTATGAGGCTCCATTCTGGCGCACTGCTGGCGCGCTGCCCCAGCCTGCCTGGCGCTATGGGGGCGCGTCGCACCAGCCTTCCCACAGACACTAACTAATGAATTTTTTGACCTCGTTTTATGATCCTAAATCGTTTTAATCCGATTCTTTTTCTCAAATTCACTTTAGATTTATGTACCCAAATCATATACACAAGGATCTAATTCAAGGAACTCAAGAACTAACAACTTAATCATCAAGAACTCCTAAGAACTCAACTCATGTTCAAGAACGAAAGTAATTCAAGAACCACATTCAATAACATTCAAAATCCAATCTTTTTGAGATGAAATCGATAAGTCAAACATGCTTGGCACGTGGGTGAACGAACCCAACGTTGAGATAGACTCACATACCTTAATTGATTGAATCCTTGGCGAAATTTGCAAGCAATTCCTTACGACGACGACGAATCTAGCTTTTCCCTCCTTTCTCTTTTCTTGCGTTCTTCCTCCAAAACCCTAGCTCTATTTGGTAAATGTCTAAGCTGATATAATTCAGCTTGGACCCCTAATTAATTACCGAAAACGAATTAAAATAAAATGGTAAGGAAAAGACCAAACTACCCTTTAAAATCGGGATTGGACATTTCCTTAATCCAACAACCAAACTTCCAAAGGGCATATCTCACTCATATGAACTCGGAATCGCGCAAACTTGGCGGCGTTGGAAAGATAATTCCACGAGCTTTGTAGAAATACCTGGAAGTACACTTAACTCATCTTTATATAGGAGTTATGGCCTTTTGAAGTTGGCCCAAAAATTAACTTTTCTTAACTTTAACAAATTTTCCAGATTTTCGTTATTTCCAAAAATGGCTATTTCAACTTCTTAGCTTCTTCCTAGTTATTTCAATTTGCGAGATGTTACAATGAAAGTCTCACATACCTCTTTAGGGATCAACCCTTGGTGAAATCTACAACGAAATCTTATGAACTTCACGAAATCTGGACCTTTCCTCCTCTTTTCTCCGCTTTTCTCTTCTCTCAAAGCCCTAGAGTTAATTTGGAATGCGTAAACAGAACCAAATCAGTTAACTTAATTGGGTAACGAAAAGATCAAAATACCCCTCTAAAATCCGGTTGACTTTCCTTATCCGGACAACCCGACTTCAAGGATGCATATATCCCTCATACGAACTCGAAATTTAGCAAACTCGGTGGCGTTGGAAATATAATTCAATGACCTTTCATTTCATATCTTATAGCCCACCTAATTTATTCAGTCCTAGGAGTTATGGTCATTTGAAGTTGATCCAAAATTCATACTTAGCATAACTTGCCAAAATTTCCAAATTTAATTATTTCCTAAAATGGTTTCTTTCTAATTCTAGTTCTTTCAAATAGCGAGGTGTTACAGATTCCAAATGACTTGAATTAAAAATAAGTTAATGCCGGACGATTATCAAAATAGTGAAGAAAGCTACATTAATAAAAAAACGTTAAAATCAAAGGAAACTTTTTTAAAAAAATATTATTATTTTTACATAATATACGATTTTTTAAAAAAATTATTAAAAACGTAAAGATTAGAAATTTATGAAAGAGAAAAAAAGTTTAAAGTGAGGAGAGAAATAAATATTTTACAAAGAAAGAAATGAAAGTAATTATATTTACATTTTAGAGCTAATTACATCCTATCCTGGAAGTTTCTCCAATTACAAATAATTTGAATTTTTCATTGCTCTCAGAATTTTTTTTGATTTTCCGATACATTGCAAATGGTCAATTACTTAATGGGAAAGATGTACCCGAGAGGGGATTTTTTGTAATTTTTTTAATTGAAAGGAAATTTTACTATGATATCTTAAGTTGTGTGATTATGTATTTTTTTCCATAATTTAATCATTTGGTTCAGATCTAAAGACAACATCTAATTACTCAAATGTGCATTCAAATTTTCTAAGATTAATGCAAACAAATGGTTCATAAGCCATCTTTTTAAATTTCATCTAGTTAAATTCTCTCTCACTTTTTTTCCTTTTCCATATTGATTTTTTCTAAAACCTACCAAATATTCACTGATCTATTTCATCACCATCATTTAAATTCACCTTATCATTTGTCCACAAAGAAAATAACAAAAAATATGATATTTATAATCGTACCTATAACCCTGGCTGAAAACTGGACATTTGACGTTATTTTTCCTCTTCTCATATTCTCCTTTTAGTAGAATTGCACAAATAGAGAGCACCACCTTTCAAACTCTTCAAACATAAAATTTCAGCAACTTTCTCTTTAGGCATGCAAAAACTCTATTTTCATTCTGATAATATTTGTTCAATGCTGCATTAAAATATGTAAAGGGTTTTAGGTGGCACATATAATATAAGTGCAAGTTTAATTATCTGTAATAAATTCAGTAAATAAATTTTGTACTATTTTTATAATTGATAAATCGTAAATGTCAGGCAACTCCTTGACCTTTGGTAATACCCCAAAACTCGTCTTAAAAAGTATAAGAAATCGTCACAAATATAATTTAATTTTTTAAGTATGAAATCAATCCCACATAAAATTATTTTAGTCACACTTCTGTATTACCAAATAAATCAATACAAACAACTTTTTTGAGTTAAGATATTTTAATTTGTTGGGATAAGGCATGAGTATCCCCCAAAACTATAGTCAAACTCTAAGAGACAAACCTAAATTTAACTAGGGTCCTATTAGCCACCTTAAACAATTTTAAAATGAAATAAATACACCATAAAAATTGATGTGGCATAGAAAATGTGCACACTCTCTTGAAGGCAAGTGCACATTTTCTATGCCACATCAATTTTTATGGTGTATTTATTTTATTTTAAAATAATTTAAGGTAGCTAGTAGGACCCTAGTTAAATTTAGGTTTGTCTCTTAGAGTTTGAGTATAGTTCAGGGCAATACTCATGACTTATTCGAACAAATTTAAATATTTTAACTCAAAAAAGTTGTTTGTATTGATTTTCCTGGTAATACAGAAGTGTGACTAAAATAATTTTATTTGTGATTGATTTCATACTTAAAAATTGAATTATATTTGTGACGATTTCTTATACTTTTTAAGACGAGTTTTTGTGTATTACCGAAGGTCAAGGAGTTGATTGACATTTACTATTTATCAGTTATAAAAATAGTACAAAATTTATTACCGAATTTATTACAGATAATTAAACTTGTACTTATATTATATGTGCAAGCTAAAACCAATTATATTTGTCTGATGCCGCATTGAACAAATATTATCAGACTGAAAATGGAGATTTTGCATGCCTAAAGAGAAAGTTGCTGAAATTTTTTATGTTTGAAGAGTTTGAAAGGTGGTGCTCTCTATTTGAGCAATTCTACTAAAAGGAGAAAGATGGGGGGTGGAGAAAATAATGTCAAACGTCCAGTTTTCAGCTAGGATTTTAGGTACGATTATAAATATCATATATTTTGTTATTTTCTTTATGGATTAACGATAAAGTGAATTTAAAATGATTGTGATAAACTAGATCAGAGAATATTTGGTAGGTTTTAGAAAAATTCAATATGGAAAAGGAAAAAAATGACAAAATTTCACTAGATGAAATTTAAAAAGATGGCTTATGTACTATTTATTTGCATTAAGCTTAGAAAATTTGAATGCACATTTGAGTGATTAGATGTTGTCTTTAAATCTGAACCAAATGATTAAATTATGGAAAAGTTACATAACCACACAACTTAAGATATCATAATCTCTAAAATTTCCTTTCAATTAAAAAAAAATACAAAAATTACTCTCGGATATATCTTTCTCATTAACTAATAGACCATTTGCAATATATCGGAAAATCAAGGAATGTATCCGAGAATAATGAAAGATTCAAATTATTTGTAATTGGGGACACTTCCAGGATAGGATGTAATTAGCTCTCAAATGTATGAGATTTCTCTAAGTTTCCCTAAAATTATTTGTCTTCAACACCTTAATATGCTTTTTTTAATTTATTTTTAATCATAAAGAATATACAATTTAGATAAAAGTAGTTAAATATCTGGAAAAATATATATATATATATATAATATAATAAAATATTATTTAATATACAAATATGTATGTTCGCTAGTGATGATGCAGATTATTTGTAGTTGTGGTGGTTGTGATGATTGGTGTTAGTGTCTAGTTTTCTGGTGATGATAGTTATGATGGTGGAGCTAGTTTGTGGTGTGGTGACTCGCGTGATAATAATGGTTGGTATTAGTGATGGTGATTGTGATGGTAGAGTTGATTGATGTTAATAGTTGAGGATGGTGCTAGTTGCGATAATGGAGGTGATTGATAGTAGGGATTGGTCACAGTGGTGATAGTGGAAAATAGTGATAATAAGTGTGGAAGGGACTGATAATATTAGTTGACAACGATATGATGTCCAACGGTTGTTTTAATGGCAAGGGTGGCTGGTAGTTGGTGACGATGATGGTAATTGTGATGGCAAAGGTGGTTAACAGTTGTGGACAGAGTGATAGTGAAAATTATTCATACAAAAATACCAATTAAATTGCTTACATTTAATCAAAGTCTGAATCTGATTTGTTCATACTTTAGGCCATTAAGAGCATTCGCTTACATCAAGATTTTAACACTTATTTAATTTAAATATGTCTTAATCAATAAGATTTTGCACAAAGTCTTAATATCATTAAGAGAAAATAAAACTTAGATTTAAATGGGTTAAAAGTTGTTACCCAACCCTACCCAAGTAGCGGACTTGCCCAATGGGCCAAGCCATTTTGACGGCTATAGTATTATCACTTGAACTTTTTTGAATGAGCTTCTGGAGTGTGATATTCACGCAACATGTCATATTTTTCTAGGGGAATTTTAATATGAATTTAGTCGTAATTTTTTATCAAACAATTTATTTGTATCAAAAAATTTATTAACACATATTAAGTTTAATTTTTTTTTATTAGCATTAGAAATTCGAAAATTTAGAAATTATGAAGACAAAATTTTAGGGATTCTTACATAAGTGTATAGGTAACAAAAATTATTTTTCAACAAAGATGATCGCATGTATATATAATGCATCAATATTGTGTCATTTAGATATGAGCTCCTCTTGATGTTGCAGTCTTTTGATATATCATTCACTCGAAATGATTCACATTTGTAACAAGTCAAATTTTAAAATTTAAGCTTCAAAACCCTTCAATGATGAATTGTTCAATTTTTTCAAGAAAATATAAATTAGATTTTCAATACTAAATTTTCAATTTAATCTTCAAAACTCTTCATAGTTTCATTTTTTGAGTGCAATATTATGATAATGCTATTAATTTTTTCTCGAGCTACAAAATCATATTAATATGCATCTTTTGTTAATTAATCAAAAATTAGATGTAATATTACTAACAGATGCAACCTAGTATTTAGATGGTGATGCATGTAGTGATCAGGAAAGAAAAGCACTTCACCTCTAGGTGTGACCGAATGATCAATTATTGTAATATTGATTGTTTTAGACAAGAAATTTCGACCCAATAAACAGTTTATCAATTTTTTTGAACTTTTATCTATCCAAGTATAGTAGGACCAAAAGTTCCTCTGCAACCCCTCTCCACTACAAGGTAATGTGGAGCTTTTTCCTTCAAGGGTTTTTGGTTATCAATTTTTTGTTTGGGGCTTTTTCACACACTTATAAAATGACTTTGATGATTAAAAGTTGGGATTTTGAATGTTTTATTTTTAGATAAGGAATCAAGAAACCAATACCCACTGAAAAAATTGATGTATTGCTAGTTTTGTAAGAGGGATAAGGGATAGCTAATCCCGGAATTAATTTTAGGATGAGTGTATCCATTGTTTGGTTGAGAATTTGAGATAAGATAACATATCTGGAGATTGCAGTGTTATTTTTATTTTATATTGAGGATGGGATAAGTAATCTGGGATAACTTGTTCCTAACCAAACGAGCCCTTATACTCTGAATTTTTCATTTGTTTGTGAAGGGAAGGAGTAAAAACACAATCTTGCAACAACTAAACTAAGGTGGTTTACATGTGGGGTTGTAGAATTTTGATTTCATTTGCTTATGTAATGTTCTTGTACAAGCAGTGCAAGAAGAAGGAGCATATTATTGATGACATACTCCGTAGTGCTTTGGACATTAGCTTATAGGATCCACATCATGTTCCATGACCCTACTCTCAACTTAGGAGAACATGTAACCGTTGGGTTTTAAAAGGTGTGAATGGAAAATGAAGAGTTGAGACTTTTATGATGTGTGTGACTTTTATGAAAAGTTGCGACTTTTATGAAGAGTCGTGACTTTTATGAAGAGTTGTGACTTTTACATAAAGTTGTGTCTTTTATGAAAAGTATTGATTTCTATGAAAGGTTGTGACCTTTCCGAAAGATTGTGACTTTTCCAAAGGGGTGTGACCTTTTCGATAAGGCACAATAAGAATATTTTCACACTACCCTTTGTTTTCTTATAAATTGAGGGATTTCCTCTCATTTTAAAGAATGTAATTTTCTTGTACTTCTTCTACTACTACTAAATCTAGTATTCTAAGTTTACTTTTACTGCCGTTGAGTGGTTCGCTGACACCGTAGTTTTAGGTACCGATACACCGGTGAGTAAGATCGTTCTATCCTGGGAGGATATATTTCATTAACCTCAGGTACTTAAGGGGAATAATTTCCTTAAGGGGACACTGTGCATTCAGTGGGCTCGATTTTCTTCTTTAAGAAAAATATTTTGTATATTGTTTCTAATCTGTTTCTGGTTCTATTTTCTTTACTAGTTTAATTTTCTAGTTTTGAAAATATTCTTTAAACTTTGTTGTTTCTTAGTAAGTTCGTCAAAGTTTTTCTTCTAAGTATCTTAGAAATACAAGATGAACAACAATAACCCCCTTACCCATACTTCCCCTCACCCCCGGCCTCAACCAAAGATATGACCATAGTCTATCATCATTCCCGATATGACCATAGTCTATCATCATTCCCTAGAGTCACTAGGTAGATGTAAGCTAAAAATTCTGTATATGAAACATGAATCTACTAAACTACTGAATCAAGCAGAGAGTCTAGGACCAATAATTAACGATACCAAATTTTGAAGAAAAGAAAATAATAATATAATAGATGAATAAAAGCTACCAGCTCTAGAAACAACAAGAATTATGCAATATATGACTCTATGGATGAAAAAACAGAGAGTCGCATAGAGCAAAGTGAACACGAGATAGAGATATACAATAGTATACTAACATAACAGATTAGCAATTACACATAAAACATATATCGAAAAACTAGATCTAAAAAATATACAACAATTGTAAGATCTGAAAACCAAAAACTAAAGGTAACCTGAAACAAATTTGGAAAATAATTTGGTAAGATAGAACCTAGAACTAGAAGAGGAGATTGTATGCACTTAGACGGAGAAAAAAAATAATTCCGGACAAATTTGTTGCTTCTTTGTCGCTGGAATCTTGTTGTTTGTCGTTGGGTGGCAAGTTGATGGTGTCTATGGGTAGAAAAAAGGGGGAATTGAAAATGACCACGCATTTGCCAAAGAAGTGTGGTGGCATGTGCAACAGAGAAACCCTAGAAGATCAGTGACGAGGGAGCACAATCTTTTCTTTGAATCCACGAAGGGAATGGAATTGAGATGCAAAAATGGGAATGTGTTGTTGCTCTATATATTGATAGAGAGGGAAAACAACTTATTACATACTTTCGCAATGTAAGGAAGGTTTACGTGTTGATGCTTGAGGTACAAAATCTGGTAAGCTTGTTGAACACTATCAACATGTTGTAATAAATAAATTATTGTACATCAAGCATCAACACGTAAACCTTCCTTAGATTGTGAAAATATGTAATAAG